TAAGGAAAGCAGAGTAGAATGAAATGAAAAATGACTTGTCTCAATATCCAAATAATACAAGTATAGTTAGGCTTGCCAAAGTGTTCTATTCCCTGTTGAACTCTGGCCATGATAAATGTCAACAGGAAAAAAGTAGATGCCATTCTTCTAACATCAACAAGTCAAGTATTATAGTATAAAGATAAGTCTATGTACCTATGTGCCTTAAACACTGATAAAACCGAGTGAACAGATCAAAAAGGTATTTATTGAGGGGAGGTGGCCCAAACAATGTATACACATGTGAGTAAATGTAAAAACGATAAAATTTTTAAAAAGGTATTTGTTGCTTAATCAAAAAAGGTGAGTTGCAATAAGCCACATGCTTTGGGTAGATTTAGAGTGACAAATTACAAAAACAAAAAGGAAAAAAGTGATGTTGATGTTCTTATACTATTTTGTCAAGGAAAACTATTAACACTCAACTAAAAGTACAAAGAAAAAGAGTGCTGATTCTAACATTTAACACGACCAAACTCAGATATGCAAGTTAGTATATATGTGCCTGGCTAGAAAAAGACAAGAAAATTCCTCGGTCAAAATATGAAGATCATGCTTACTAAGTATGCCACCTAACAATTAAACGTTTGACAACAACTCCATTTATACATCAACTAAATGTTTAAGCACAATCCTGAAAAAGACATAAGTTATTAATGAAGGCCATCTGGATTTGATTCCTTTTGTGCTACTATCTATACAACCACAGTTAAGTTACTTAAGCTTTCTGAGCATCAGTTTCAATATATGTAAAACAGGAGCTATAATATTTGAATACCACTTTATGTTTTAAGAAAGGGAGCAGAGTGAGGGATTAGTAAGTGTTGAGCCCTCAACAAATGTTAGATGTTATTACTGTTATTAAAGTATCTTATATAAAAGTAAACTAATCCCTCTTTCCTCTTCTGACTTGCCTACCTTTGAAAAATACAATGAAGTAAAACACTCAAAGGTCAAGAAGTAGGAAGAAATACAAAATATAATGGTTGGTTTTATTAGCATAGTAGCATCACATCAGGATTTACTCAAATATTTCAACCTGTGAATTCCTTCCCTCCCCTTTCTCACACTTACTAGTATGATGATGTTTTTAAACAGAGATATGAAGTATGAAATATGTGAAAGTAATTGCACCAGCTAAAGAAAACTACTCAATAAAAACAGGGCTTCAATCTAAAGCTTCCCTTACCATTTTATGTTTTTGATGATTTCTGAACGATTCCACAGATGCAAGAGCTTCAACAATAAAAGTGCTATCAGCTTAATTATAATGGAAAGTTTGAATTTTTAAAAATACTACTATTCCAAGAGAATACAGATTACCAAAATAAGAGAAGGATCATTTTTAGTGGCATGAAACAACGTGAAGCTCCTTTTCTAAACTGCACAATCACTGTGAACTAGAGGAATATAAAAATTGATGGGCTAGTAGGGTGGCTCAAATGGCACCTGCTAATCAAATGTGAGGCCCTGAGTTCAAACCCCAGGAGCACAAAAAAAAAAAGTTTCTCAAAAAGTCCATTAATGATGAAGTCAATGATGATCATGTTGAAAAGTTAAATTAATAGAATATGAAAAAAAGTCCATTGAGTGGCATATTATTTTGAAATGGAAGATATATATTTGATACATTGTAAGACCCTTTTGATAAATGGTATGACGTACCCCCACCCAGAACAACAATAGTAATAAAATAAATAAATAAAGCTTTGTGTATATAAGGATTATATTATATATCCATGAAAGTAAATTTTTGAGAAAATAGTAACACTAATGGGAAAATGAGCTATATTACCATCATTAAGAACAGGAAGATGAAAAATTGACAGAAACTATTATATTTAGAGATGGGTTATCCCAGCCTGAACTAAAAAACAAAAAAAGTTAAATAGGATAGAAGAACACAGTTATGTAAAACTGTAACAAGGAGAAAGGTAAATCAGTTATTTCTTACAAAGGTTGCTGGATACACAAGTTAGTAAATTAAATGTTCATATGCCTGGATTTCCATAATTAATACTGTGCAAAAAAAAAAACCACTAAAGCACATAGGTTTCAACTATTCCACCTATTGATTCACAAGAAGTTAATACAACTTTGAAATACAAATGAAAAAAAGTATCAGTAAGGTCACAAGAAGAATTCAATTCAAATGGTATGATCAAGAACAAGATGAGTGATCAATCTTCTGAAACTCTCATTTTTACATTCTTGTTCAGCTTGGTGTGGTCCCTGACAGAACTGAACATTTTATCAAAGGCTTTCTGAATGGAGTAATGGGGAAAGAAGGGAAGACGTGAGGGAAAGAAGAAAGGCAACAATCATAAATGTTATCTAGTTATTTTCAAACTTTACTCTGTATAATGATAGCATCTAGGAAATTTGCTTAGCCTCAAACCTTAAATTCTAACTCATCAACTCTAAAATGAGTCCAACGTCATCCACATTTCAGTACACACCCCAACTGATCCTGCTGCAAGTAATCCATTGCCTCTAAAGTACCATGTCCAAATTGTATTCTCTGGTACAATACATCATATGTCTTGAAAAAATGAGTTATTTGATAAAATAAGTTACAGAAAAGAATTAGTAACTACAATAATCATGTTTATAAATAGTAGGATTTTTTTTGCACCTTCAATATGCATTTAATTTCCCATGAATGACAAAACAGTCACACTGAATATCAAAAATTAATGACTGGTCATGGAACTCTCTCTTTTATGTTTTATCCAGCAGTATTCATAAAAAAGTCTAAAAATCTTGAGGCAAAGAGTAAGACGAAAGAAATTGGATGAGAAAATGTAAACGCTTCCTTATAATGCTAAGCGAGAAAAGCAAACAGGTAATGGAGGGAGAAAAAAAAAGAAAACACAGAAGGATCCTTTAATCTTAAATAATACTGTTATGAACATGAATTTATAAATATAGTGATACCACTATAATATACCTAATTTCCTTCTATTTTATAACTCTAAAGTTAAAGATAACACTTGCCAAAAGAACTTCAACAATAAAGAATCTGGAAAAATAATTTTTCAGAAGATGATAATCTTACTAGACATATAAAGCAGTAAGAGCTTTTCTCTAAGATCTTAAAAATAGCTGTAGATACCTGACATCAAACAATTACACAAAATATTTAGAAATGGAAACTAGCAGGCTTATCTTAAAAAGGAACATTCTCTCTAGTTCTTTGTAACAAGAAACATTTTTAAAAGCTTAAAAAAATGTTTGAACTAGAGGAGATTACAAGCAAAACTATTACAATTTGCTCTATATAAAATATAGCTTAAAAACTGTTTGAACTATTACAATTTGCTCTATGTAAAATATCAAAACTATACTATTTCAATTAGCAAAGAAATACAAATTCCCAGATTTGTGTCATCAGTTTCACATGAGCCCATAACACAAAACTGAATAAAATAATATGAGTGACTTCTCATTAAATAAGGTAATCCAACTGATAACAAACAGGAGTTATAATGGATTTAAACAAAAAAAGAAAATTTTGAGACAACTGTAACTTTAAGGAAAATACACAAAGACTCACAAAAATGAAATGGTAACAAAACAAATGATGACAACTAGCCCTAAAAATATTTCTGTATCTCCCTCAAGGACAGAGATTTTTTTTTTTTTTTGAAAAATGCCTGGCCTTGGCTCAAGGCAGAAAATAAAAAATGTCTCCCCTAAGAATTCATAACTCCAAGCCAACCCTTAAGGGTTTGGAGCAGAAATTTAGGTTAATGATGTAATAGAAGACACACATACTAAGTTTTCATTTAAAATAATCTCAGGAAAGCTCCAAGATCCTGGTAATAATGAACATAAATGCTTTCTGGAAGAAATTCTTCAAATCTTGGCCTCCAAGAATTTTCAAAGAGATAGAAACACAGGCAAAAAAGATTTGAATGCACATTTCCCAGAAGAATATATAAACAGATGTACAAAATTATTAGCATTAAGGGAAATGCCAACTAAAAAGGCAATATACATTTTTCCATGCATTACTTTGGAAAATATTTAAACACTGGATGAGTCTGTGAAGCAACAAAACATCACCCATTGCTTGCGTGAATGCAAACTGGTGTGGAAAACATATGTAATGATCTAGTTAAGCTGAAGATGCAAACAGCCTATAAGTCAGCAAACCTACAACCTTAAAATATACCCTGACACCCTGCAGGAGATGTTTACAAGAATATTTAAAACAAAGTTACCAGTAACAGAAGAACAAGAATTAATATAACTGCCTATCAGCAGAACTGAAGAAAAACTAGACAATGAGCTGCTTTCAATAGACAACTATTCATCGGTGAAAAGAAATGAACTACAACTGCATGGATTAGTATATATGAATAAAACCAATGTAATGTTGGTCAAAATATCAAGTTATAGAAGAAAAACGTTTGACCTCGATATAATATTCAAAATCTGCAAGATTAAACCACATATTACATATGAATGCATAGAGTTGTAATGTAATTATAAAGCAAAAGACTGGGAATGAGAAATACAAAATTGAGGAGAGAGATTATCTCTGCACTAGACAGGTGAGACCGCTGCAGGATTCATGGGGACTTCCAATGCCATGATAATGCTCTGTCTTTTAAGATGAGTGGTATGGCTCAGTGTTACAGTGCTTGCCTAATACATGTTCCAGGCCTTGGTTTTGATCCCTAGCACTACCAATAGGGAAAAAAAATACTACAGTCAGCTGAGTGATGAACACACTAGTGGTCATCACTATATATTGTCAATTGAACTCATGAACTATATAAACTCTCAGGTAAATACAGTAGCATTTCATAAAATGGAAAAGTAAGTTCATTAACAAAAAAACAGTATCAATAAATGCTTCTTTGCCTTCTGAGTAAATTTTTACCTTTGTCTTTCTCCCCTTTTAAATTTTGGCCTCAGAATGTCATGATTATAATAAATATGGAATAAATTACCGTGTTTCTTATTGGAATCTTCTTGGGTTCTGGTGGAACATCCTGTGGAACAAATTTCACTGGTTCCTTAATTTGCCTCCGTGATCGTTTGGTCCCATCTGGTAAGGTTTCCATAGCCATGTCTGCTTCCATATCACTGCTCCCTGCCTGGTCACATTCTGAGCACTGCCTGTGTAAATTTAACACAACAAGCTTTAGCCATAGTTTCTATAAATACAAAATCCAGATATATGTGAAGGAAAAATATGCTCAGATAGTACAATAATGACAAAATATACAGAAATGCACATATACCTCTTCCCAAAATGACTACCAGGAATACATGAATCAATCCAATGTGTCCCATAAATATCATAAGAACACATGCAATAATGGTACATATTTCTTATTCAGCACTAATGAAGATAGTAGTTTCCCTTTGGAAATCATGACTTCTCCTTAAGTTACATACTATGACATATGAAAATCACAATCCTTCATGGATCCTGATTCTATTTCTTATCACAGTTATTATATTTTTAACTAGTTAGGGACAAACTGTGCTAGATATAACACTTAAAGAAAACTCCACAGAAACTCTAGGAAATATTTTAAAAAATGGTAAGTTATATATTGACAATAAAAACAGAAATCTTGTCACCAATTATAAATGACCATCTCAAAAACTTACAACTACTTGTTAAAAGTAAGTTTCCTCCAACTTTAAAGGAATAATCAGACAATAATTTTCTAAAAGTCTAATTTAAAGTAGTAGTCTCTTTATAAAAAGTTATAAGTAAAATTATATATATTTACATATGTTTATGTTTGTATCTTTGAATAAAATTTCTGATAATCAAATATTTTAAAGATCTCTTATAATTTAATTCATGTTCCATCAAAATTTGTATCTTCCACTCAATAATACCATAAGCTAAATATCAAACATTTAGTTTTGACAGTTTTAAATTCTGAACTCCAATAACAAAGTTAAATAAAAAGTGCCATTTATTTGGTTAAGGCAAAGACAATACTACCAAAATGCAAGTTAATACTTAGAATATTAATTTAAATATTTTTAAATTTCTGACTATTTAAGCATAATAAGGTAACAAATATTTAATAAGAAAAACCTGACCAATGAGAAAAAAATACATCGAATTATATCACAAAAAAGGACTGACTTCTCTGCCATAGGCTTTAAAATATGTATTACGACGTGATCATTTCTATCAGTTGAATGAGATGTAGTCAAAGTTCTCAAACAGTTACAATTCATTTTTAATATATACAAATCCCTGGAGTACAGAAACAAGTAAGCTTTTATCTGAATCACTTTTTTTTAACTGAAATATTTTCACTTTTTTTTTTTTTGTAGTTATTACTCATTAGGATATTCCTTAATCATGCTCATCCCCATCTCCACCAAAAATAATATAAATTGATAAATAATTAATATAAATTTACTCTAGAGCACCTAAAGAGAAATGCAGTGCCCTGAACCCGCAAAACATTAAACAATTCAGAAAATCCTATTTTCAGACAAGTGCCACATGATCCATGCCAGATTGCCTACACAGATGGATACTATTTCTTCTCACTTCTTCAGCAATCTATTAAACACTATCATGTTCATCTTCTAAATATCCCTTAAGATACCTAAAAACATCTCTGCTACATTAACTGATATACAAGATTCTGTGAAGGAATAAACTAGAATAAAAGCAGAGCCCATCCAATTTGATGGAATCATATAACCTTTTAAAGGAAAGTCATAATAATCTTTCAAAATATCAAAACAAATACTTGACTTCTTTTAAAAATATACTATCCTGCTATTATCCATGAATGTAGATAAACTCACTTTAATCCTATATATATTTACTTAACACATTCTACTAGAAAAGAGACCTAAAATCTATAATTCCCATGTAAAGTATTATAGATAAGTTTAAGTAACAGAGATGGACTCATGTGATGGATTTATGTAAAAGAACAACCTGTACTTTCCTCCTGAAATATCAAGATATTTTTTCAATTTGCTGTATCTTCTCCATGTTCAACACCATACAACCACAACTTATGTTCAAAATGGTGACCTCAGGGAGTTTTAAGAATCTTAATCACTAAAGAAAAATAATTTTTACTGTAAAATAGTGCTAAGACAAGAAAGTTAAAGAAAAAAAAAAGATTTTATGAATCGTAAATGTAATATTTTCCAAACATTACAGATAACTCATGGTTTACTTTTATCCCTCTACAGTCTTCAAGAAAAGCTCAGAAAACACACCACAGTTTTTTTGGTTTTGGATTGGTTTGTTTACTTGCTTTGTTTTGTTGTTTTTGTTTTTAACATTTTTCCCTCTCTTTTTAGTGGAAAGTCTTGACAGGTACCTACATAAAACTTTAAAGAGTTGGCTCTAATATCATCTCCTCAGCCAAGTCACACCTCAGTTGTCCCCGAATGACAGAAGTATCCATTTGAAGAACAGGGAAAAACACTGAACTCAACTTCTAAATTTTGACTTCTTAAAATTGTTACACGTGACCAAAACTTTAAATTAATAGTGGATGTAGATATGTGTTATTTAATGTACAGTAAGTACCCCATTCCAAAGCTGAAATTCTAAGAGTTAACAGGGTTAGGAAGTAAGAGAAAAAAAATATTGTCAATGGAACGTTACCAAGAAAAACAAAGAAAAAAATATTTTGTAAATACTTCATGGATAAAGGAGAATGGTAGAGGGGGTGAATTCCAGTATAATATATCTGATATATTGTAAGAACTTTTGTAAATGTACAGTGTACCCCAATCCAGCACAATAAAACAAAAATAAATAATTCATAGAAGTAAAAACAAATAGCACTGCTAGTTAAAGTTGGCATAATGGGGGTTTAGTGTATTAGCACAGGCTTGCACAGCATAGAGACGGCAAAAACAGAATCTGGTAACATTCAGAATGTATACCAGCGGGACTTGTGGAAGTTTAACTAAAGACTGGGTACAGTCACCAAATAAGGAACCAGGGACCGGACCCTTACTCTACTGAAAGGATTAGCAAGAATTACGCAGGAACTAAAACAGTAGTCAATCAGTGACATGCTAGTAAATGTGTAACACTGGCTCTCTGAAGGAGCGGAGGAAAGCCTTCATTTGTAGCATTTTTCTAATGTCCATTAGTATGAATACTCCCAATCATGGCGTTTCCAAACTACCACCTTGGCATCACAGAATGTGAAGTGGAGAAAAGATGTGTAATAATAATCATTACCCAGTTTTTCTACAGTACAACACAATAGACTTAAATAACCTCAAGGACACAGATACAACTTCCTAAGAAAATGAACAGAAAAGTAGTCATGAGAGATGAAACATATTTAATGTGCTTGAGGAAGATGTAACCTTTTGAATATACTACTACTCAAGGATTTGGGATTTGCTCTTTTCTAAAACTGGAAAGGTGTTCTACATGAAAAGAATACTCATGTTCATTTCTATAAGAAATCAATCTAAAAAACTTGAACACCTCTCACTTGGCCTAAAATTAAGGATAAAACTCATGATAGATATCATAAGCTTTTATAAAACATCTGTAGTGATTCAACATGGTTAAATCAATGAAAAAACTCAAAAGTTTTGTCAAATGTTTCTAGACTTTTGAAGAATGACTGGTTGAACACAAAATTCACTCAATTTTAAAATAAAAGATAAAAGCATTTGAGAAATTCCTAATGATAGCACAAAAGAAAATTATAAATATACCACACAGAATAGAGGCCTTAATTATGAAGCCATTGCTAAGATAGAAACCCATTTGCTATCCATTACTAAGATAGAAAAATTAACTAAAAATTATTTTCTTAAAAAAAAACTGTATATACAGAAATGTGAAAAATCCCCTTACTATCCTCAGTTTAATATACACTAGCAAAAAATAAACTATTAGAATTATAACAATATGCTATGAAAATATCAATTCAAAAGTTTGGTGAATACTTACATTATGAATCAATATGATATAGTACTTCCTGTCACAGTGCTAAAGGTAGAAGTAAACCAATTCTAACATCTAAGACCCACTCCATTTTACTTACCAATAACTGTTCTTAGTCTTTCTTGGCATCCTAGTAAGAGGAGGATCCAGACATCCAAGATGGTAATGGAGTTTGCAGGTATCACACAATAAAAGAAGATGTTGGTCATGGTTCTTCTTACAAATTCCACAACTTTGATAAAAAGGTAGCAAACAAGGGTCAGACTAATTGTTATAGTGAAACATAATTTACTTATAACATCTGATAAATTTAAAATTTTCCATCTTAGTATTTCTTTTGTCAAGGTATCTTTTCTTCTGGAATGATGTATTTTTATACCACAGACCTTTTTATAATGTTAGTAACTGTTAGTTTTAAATGCTTTGAGAACATAAAAAAATAGATCTAGTATAAACTTAAATATTACTAGAGACAAACCTTTCAAAGAAAGCAACATTAAAGCTATTTCTTTTGACATCTTTAATTTTAATTATTACTTAAAATCCATTTAACATTTGTTCAACTTCTCTTCAGAAATAAAATTATGAAATAAAACAATTTTCTTACTTTTAAAACCTCTATGAAACTGAATTAATTACCTGACAAACAAAATTCAGTTTATTTTCTACCATTAATTATAAATCTTTCATATAGCCTTCATCATATAAACAAGATACTGACGTGTGTGTGTGTGTTTGTGTGTATGTCTTTTCAAAATCAGATTCTGAGCCTTAAAATATACCAACTGATATTTGTTGAAAATATTAAGGAGTTTTACAGTTGTTTTTGTTGCTAGTTATTTTAGGTGTGTTTTTTATTTGTTTGGTTTTAGGAAATCTAACTTTTCTCATGGAAAAGGCAATTTAACCACTCCTACAAACATAAGCAGCATAAGCCTGAAAATTTAGGTTATATTTATATGTTGAGAATGTACAGGATAAAGGAAAAGTTGTTGAGAACCTAAAAGAACCATCAGTGCATAAAAAAGACCAAAGAACCAGGATGTTGTGGCTTTCATTCTTTTTGAGTCATTCTTTTTGGTTTTTTATTGTGCTGGGTGGGAGTACATTGTAGCATTTTTAAAAGTTCTTACAATATATCAAATATATCATACTTGAATTCACCCCCTCCACCGTTCTCCTTTATTCTCCCTATCCCTGATATCACGTTTTTAAAATATTCCTAGAATAAAAAAGCCAAAAAGCAAATCAAAACAACCAGTACCTGACCTCAGAATAATAAAAGGAAAATCACTCTGAAACAAATATGAATTAAGTCATAGAAGTCAAAAGTATAGTGATATGACTGATGGTTTCAAAGGAACCAACCATGCTTAGGAAAACTGTACTGATTAATGCTAATGTTTACATTGTACATTACTTATGGGCTCTTCTCATATTTTAAGAAAGTTACCTGCTATAACCTGTGGGAAAAGCCTCCAACAAAGAACAGAGGGTAGTTATGGAAACTGTTATTGTTGCTATTGCTGCTATTTCTAAGAAAAAAAGTGGCTGTGGGAAGAATATTTATGGATTTAACAGATATGTGTAAGTACATGCATATGTATATACATATATGTATAGTTTATGTGCATATAGACACATAAACACAAACATCATTTTCTAAACTTTCACTTAATATAATCAATATAAATTACACAAAAAAAGTGAGCTCTTAATTTAGATACAGAAAGAAGTGAAGGCTTAATTTAGATACAGAAAAAGTCTTGATTATCTAAGATTACTATAATGGTGAACACTGTAAAAACATTGAGTACAGAAATTAAAAACTGCATTGGTGGAGTGGCTCAAGTGGTAGAACACCTGCCTATCAAGTGTGAGGCCCGGAGTTCAAACCCCAGTGATGCCAAAAAAAAAAAAAAAAAACAGAAAGAACAAAAATATTTCTGGAAATAAAAGTACTGCACTGAGCAATACTTTTAGGATAGGCACTATCCTAAAAGTATTCATTACTTTTAGATAGTGAATATCACTTTAAGATAGTGATATCTAATATCACTATCTACAAAATCAATATAGACTGTATATATGATATTCATCACACCCACAAACAAAACTTTCCAACTCATCCAAGTAAAATAAAATATAAGCTTTCATTTGTTTATTATGTTGGTTAACATAATCAACATCTATGTAATTATTATGAATAAATTATAAGTAAGTTTAAATAATTAAATTTAAGACAATAATTACATTTTAAAAGTAACTTTTCAATTCCCCAAAGAGAATTCTTCATTTCTATGGAGCTTATGCAGATATATTCCTAGTTGCTTCAAAAACAGAAAAAGCCATTTATCTAATCTTATTAAAGAGCAACAAAAATCTCTTCTATTACTCAATCTAGAAAGCATCTTTGATAAAATGAACCTCAATTAATTTCTGATATGGACATAATTCACTCTTAAATAACTGACTCCGTTCTAGTAAGAATTAGTTTAAAAATACACAATATCAGTCTATCAATTTCACTACTTGCCTATACAGGACTGTAGGAAGAGTAGATGTCTTTTGTGTGCCTCCTTCTTTTTTACTTGGTTTTCTCTCCTTGGGTGCTCGCAAAATCGCTGGTATGTTCAACTTCTATTGATTTGAACAAATGCAGTATATATTGTTTTAAGGATGAAATATAAAGTAACATTTTCCTATATTTTCCATTCAAGTCAACTAAATATGCTAGGACTGTGAAGGGTATATCTGCTTACCCAGCTATTATATTAATGAAAAAGAAATAAAATGAGATTTTGTCTAACAGTTATTTCCATTATAAACCCATAATTACACACTTTTATCAATTTTCAGGGACACACTAAAACATTATGAAAATTAAACTACTTTAAAAGAGTAAAAGATGAGGACAAGCACATAGGAGGTTTAAAAAAAAATAACACAGCACACTTGACAAAAAAGAATATTGAGGCCGTTTATTTTCCTCAACATCCCAGCTATGTTGGTGCTCCATAGGTTAATTAGAAAAATTATCTTATTGGACCAAGCTCTCCAACAAAACGGATGAGATTCTCTTTGGGCTTCTACTAATCTCTAGTATGCTGGCTTCTCAGACAGCAAACATCTATCAAAGTCATTTCTTAGTGGTCCAGTGGATCCACATCTGTTCAGCCAACTGGAAAAAAGTATCGTACAAATGGTACAAATGAATCCTACCTCTGCTGTGCATTTTACATTTGCACAAGGAAATGTACAAACCTCTGTGAACAGACATTTAATAAATGAAAAATTTTTATAATAGATAATATTTTATACTACATAGCATATTATAAAACAAACTTACAAATCAAGTCAGAAGATAATGCTACTTGGCAAAATAAACTACAGTTTGTACTCAACATTGCCTTCTCTAAATATCAAATACAAAGCACCATAATTTTCCAAAAATCCATCAACAACCTATCAACAGAAACAAAGGTTAATTCTCCAGAGACAATTCTTCATTCTCACTTTTTAAAATAAGTTATTCTTTATGGTACAAGCCATAAAATACTCTGTAAATAAAAGAAATTCTCTTCAAAGCTAGCATGGCATAGTACAATTCAGTATGTATTACTTTATAAAACACATAATATAACATGTAATACATATACATGAATTATATCATGAATTTGACTCTGTAAACCTCTGAAAAAAGTGCAATGAAAAATATCTGCTCTTTGAAAACCCTCCATCTCAAATAAAACACTTTCATAGTGAAAGAACCATAAAAAGTAGGTGTCCATCATCCATACTTAAAAAATATAATTGAAACTGCTTCAAAAAAATTCTTATCAGTTACAAAGACTAAAGAAACATTCAAAAAATTCTATTTTGCAATATTCTTCTACCAACACCAAGAACTTTAGCAAGCTAAGTGTTCAAGCATAAAGGACATTTTTTTTTACTATAATGACAATAATAGCTCCCACTGAAGGGAAAAAACTATACTTTAACATTTAAGTTTCAAAGACTATCTCTTACACAGCTCAAAACCAAATTAACATGAAAATGAATCTCTTCAGTTTGCCTTTTTAAAATTTAAATCCAAATAAAATTTTACAAAAATGAATACAGGAACATGAAAGGAAAAATTGTGAGAAAGAACTAAAACTGATAAAGGAAAGAAGAATGTAGTAGGAGAAACTATGCTTCAAATCTTAGCTCATCACAAATGACAGGTCAATCAGTTAGAGCAAATGAAAACATTCTGTAGGCAAGATAGCTGCAGAAACAACCAAATTAAGCTACAGGTTCTCAGTGGGTGGCTTCCAATGCTCTAGATGTATTTCAGGCAGAAATCATTATCCTGGAGGATTAGGCTCTGATCAAACAGAATGCTGCAGTTAGTGAAGTGACAGCTGTGTCAGAAATCTGGTCTTTGAAAGTCATACAGAACGTACGAACTGAAGAAAGCAACTGGAAAGAAACTAACCTGCCCTGTGATTCGGCCTAGCAAGGCCCATATTCCTTGTCCTTCACTTCGAAGTTTTCCATTCAGGTTTTGTAATTCTTCTAAGGATTCGCACAGCTACAAAGTAAATAAATCAAATAAGTAAACTTCTTTGGATAGAAATTTAAGTAATTTACCAATAAATACCCAAGAAAATCTACATTTATATTCCAGATACTTTTAAAAGATTCAGATCACGGAACTACTTTTGACACATAGGGCTATACAATTATTTAGCAGCATCAACAGAAAATGAGCATTTTGTTCCACGCTACCATTTTTACTAATGGTGATACTTGTACATTTATATAGTTCATTATAGTTTGCAATATAATTTCACACATACTCTGCTAACTAATCACTATGTCCCTATCAAGATGCATTTTCATCATTTGTCCCATGACAAAACTATCACAGAGACTTTGTGATATGGCCAGGATCACAGAACTACCAAGAACCCCCAGTTCGTCTGAATCTGATCCCAGTACTCTTTTCACTACAGTGTGGCTAATTACTAAACCTTATGTCCTACTAATTTTTATCAGTTAAACTGTTTTCTAGTAGTAATTCAATACAAGTTTTAAATGTTCATGTTACTTAGTACTAGGATTTTATTGTACCTCAGATATAATGAGATATAATAAAAACTTACATTGATAATTATTTTTTGCCAAAGTAGAATTGTAATATAATTCAAACTAAAAACAGTAATTTAAAAAATAACTTTCTAAATCTTCTACAAAACTCAAAAAGAGAAACTCTGTAACACTGTGTGTAGATTAGAAATAGGGATGGAGATAGATCTGTTAGTCTTATATCTCAACTCTGCAACTTGATTGCTATGTGAGCATGGGCAAATTACACATAAGCTCCTCAGAACGTAGCTCCCAACCCTGAAAATGGGTGCAATAATCATAACCTACACTACAAAGGAGAGGACTAAATAAATTACTGCACGTAAAGACATAGAAAGTGCTCATAAGAGACAGTAATGATAATGAAGATGATGAGAAGTACAAGACACTAAAGCAGAACTGCAAAATGAAATAAAAATAGAAATGCCATAAAATCACAAAAGAAATCTTAAACAAGATTTATTATATTATGCTGTGTATTTTGTAACCGACTTACCTTGTTATATTCTACATGAAGCTTTTCTTGCTCATTCTCTAATTTATCCTTTATATTCTTTTGTTCAGCCATATTTTCCTGAATTTGAATCATGCGCATATTTCTCTCTATTTAAATTAAATATCCAGTTTACTTTAGTAGAGAGTAAAAACTAATATAAAAAAAAATACACAAAGAAACTAGCCATAGATATGGTCACATGGGTAAACCTACACTGTTTAAACACTTATAAATGTATTGAAAAAACATGAACCTAGAATTTTACAAAAACCTACAACTTAAGAAAATAAACATATATAATGTAGTTAATGACTTTCTAAAATTAAATATTTTAAAATTAATTATCAAATATTTTTATTAGCATATTATTCTTAGTGCAAAGGTACATGTGTCATTGTCTATACTGACCAAAATAATAATTCACAAAATCAGCTGTGAGCGCTGGCTGCTTATGCTTTCTTCTTCCATCCACACTAGAACTAGTATCAGAATTGTCCACTGGAAAGATATCTGTACTGATCCCCATTAATTCTGCTTTCCGCATCAGTTTACGAATGGCTGAAGCACTACTAGTGAGTGGTCTGGGCAGTTTTTCCCTGGGAACCCAGGCCTGAGGTCTGGTAGATCGAGCCAATTCTGCCTTGGCACGATATTGCTGAAGCCGGGCATTGATCCTTGCCTGTAGGAAAATGTGCACAAATTTTAAAAGATAATAAAATGGAACATACTTATTATGATTTTTACTTCTGTGCTTTGAAAAAGCAAAGATAACTACAATCTCCTATTCAAAGCAAATTATATGTACCAATGGTCCTTAAAGTATACTGTATAGTTCTGGAGTTACAATAAACTAGATCCATACCTAGTTACACCTGTCCTCATTTATGATTAGAGCTGTGACAAAATGGTTTGAGTAAGTTAATCTCTCCTTTTAATGCCTATTACAGCCTCCACATATTAACTTCATGTACATAGAAGTAAATTTTGAATGATGAACAAACTGATGAAATCCTCTGGATAAATAAACATCAGAACACACTAAAAGAAGATCTAGAACATTTGCACTGGTAAAACAGTTTCATCTCAGCTACTTTTGCAATGTGGAAATATACTTTATAAATAGCTGCTCTGTTTAGTAGATGAGAAGGAATGTCTTCAACCACAAACTCTACGAACCATTTACCTTAATCACAAGCCACTTCTTAGGTAACCAACCAAATTACATAATTATATTTTATATGCTCACATCTAGATGTCAATCACACATCGCTGACAAACACACATGAGATGTGAAATTTATAATCTTAAAAAGAAAACAGTAAGTTTGGCATGATTCCCATACCTGTGCTTCTGGCGATAGCTGCTTCTCTCTCTCTTGCAAAGACATTTTACAATAGGATTGTAGAGCCAAGTAGTTTTTTCTCTTCCACTTTCTGTCTAACCTATCTGCATGTTGCTTACAATAAGCAAAAAATGGATCTGCTATATCCTACACAAAAAGGGGGTAAAGAACATTTTTACTCCAGTAAATCATTAAAAAAATTGACTATAAAACCATACTTCCTTTTTGAAGAATCTCCTAGTATTGGTTACTCCTATAATATATTACAAATGTAATATTCATACATCAGGATAAAGAGTACTGCTTTAGAAACTTAACCTAATAATCAACTTTAAATTAACAATTTTTTATGCAAAGGGCCTTGTGAGGATGAGGGCCATACTTGGGCGATCCAGTACTTGCCGAGTATGTGCAAGGACCTGAGTTTGACCCAGCACCACAAAGAAAGAAAATAAAGGGCCTTGTGGATTCCAAAATACTGAAATCAAACCTTATGCATTATTTGGGTATATCTGTATAACTCTTTTTGAAAACCACAGTTTAAAACAAGATTTTAATAACCTTTGTTAGAAACCATCAATAAACATTATATGTACAAAGATTCATATTATAAAACAACAATATATTTAAAAAAATACAGGTAGGATTGGCCAAGACAAATAAGTGGGGCATTTTAAAATTACTAGAAATGCATGGGCAGATTCTACCTGGGGGGAACACACTAATGAGTTAAAAGCTCTCTCTATTTGACTCCGTGAAAGAGAACAGTCAGGTAACAAGGGAAAGACTATATTCTGAAGAGAGAGGAAGAGCGTCAGGAGCCATAAAGAGGTAACAGAACAGGACAGCTGAAAAGCATGGGGAAACAGAGAGGACACAGAGAAAAGAAAGAGTCTGCAGCTACAAATCCAGGTCCCCAGGGGGAAGAAGTCAAACCTACAACCACAAAGTAAGCCAGGTGACCCTGGAGACAGAAAGGCAGAAGAGAAGCCCCAACTTCCTTTCAGCCTTCACCCACTGCAGGAATTTAATATGGCAGTGAGTACTCCTGCTTAGTAATAAAAGCAGAGTAACAAAAACAGATAGTAATGGAATAAAACAGAAGATCCAGAAATAAAACCACAGTTACCACCATCTGATTTTTGTTGTTTGGGTTTTTTTTTTTGGTAGTACTGGGGCTTGAACTCAGGGCCTTCACCTTGAGCCACTCCACCAGCCCTATTTTTGTGAAGGATTTTTCAAGATAGGGTCTCATAAACTATTTGCCCAGCCTGGCTTCAAACCACGATCCTCCTGATCTCTGCTTCCTGTGTAGCTAGGAATACAGGTGTGAGCCACTGGTGCCAATTTTTAACAAAGATGCTGAAAACATATGATGGAGAAAACCAAGCTTCTTAAACAAATGGTGCTGAAAAAATTGGACATCTGCATTTAAGGAGACTGAAACTAGATCCCTACCTCTCACCCTAGACAAAAATCAATTCAAAATAGATCAGACTCTTAAAGTAAGACCTGAAACTTTGTCACTACTAGAGGAAAACAAGGAAATCACTTGAAGATATTGGCATTAGGCAACAGCTTTCTGAATAGGATTCTAATAGCTTAGGAGATAAAAGCAAAAACTGAAAAATAGGACTGGGCACAGTGACTCAGGCCTATAATCTGAACTACTCGGGAGGCAGATAATGGAAGGTCTTGGTTTGAGACCAGCCCAGGCAAAATGTTATCAAGACCCATCTCAACCAATCAAAAAAAATAAAAAGGTGGGTGTGGTGGCACAAACCTAGCATCCCAGCTATTTAGGAAGTGAATATAGGAGCATCACTGTCCAGGCCAGCCTGGACATAAATGTGAGACCCCCATTCAAAAAATAACAAAAGCAAAAAGGACTAGGGGAATAGCTCAAGTAGAGTGCCTACCTGGCAAATTCAAGGCCCTGGGTTAGAACCCCAGTACTGTAAAAAAAAAAAAATAATAATAATAATAATAATAATAATAATTGACAAATGAGAAAATACCAAATTAAAAAGTTTCTGAAAATCAAAGGAAACAATTATCAGAATGAAGAGACAGCTTACAGAATAGCTTTTGACAGCTATTTTTCAGACAAGGGATTAATATGCAGAATACACAACTCGAAAAATTAAAAACGAACAAATAATTCAACTAATAAATGAACTGAACAGACAGTTCTCAAAAGAAACACAAATGGGAAATAAACACATGAAAAGCACATGTTCAATATCCTTAGCCATAAAGGAAATGCAAATCAAAGCAACTTTGAGATTGTACCTCATCCCAGATAGAATGGCTATTATCATCAATAACATAAACAACAAGTGCTGGCAAGGATATGGGGAAAAGGAACCTTCATAAAATGTTGGTGGGAATGTGATTTGTACAAGTACTGCAGAAATCAGTATGAGGTGCTTCAAAAAACTAAAAATTGGACTATCACATATCCAGTTATATCACTGCTGGGCAAATATCTGAAGGAATTTAAGACAGCCTGCAATAGGCATGTCTGCACAGCCATGTTTATAAAGCACTATTCACAATAGCAGGGTTATGGAACTGACCTAGGTACTCATCAAGAGATGAGTAAATAAAAAAATGTGGTATAGGTACACAATGGAGTGTAACTTATCCATAAAGAAGAATAAAATTATGTCATTTGCAGGAAAATGTATGGAACTAGAAATCATGGATATTAAGTAAAATAACCTTTCATGCACTGCATGACGTCTCTCATACTTAGAATCTAGACCTACAAAAAAAAAGAATGATACCAATATAAAACAGGAAGACTATTTGAGGGCATGAACCAATGGGAGGGGAGGGTAAAAAAAAGAGGGTAAAGGTAGGTGAAATGTGATCAAAGTATTTCATACACATGTACAAAATAGATAATGCGGGCTGGCAGAGTGGCTCAAGAGGCAGAACACTAGCAACTGTGAGGTCCTGAGTTCAAACCCCAATACCACCAAAAATATAAATATATGTATCTTTAAAATAGATAGTAAAACCCATAAAAACCATTAAAAGGGGTATAGGGAAAATAAGAAAGAGTAATAGAGGAGGTGAATTTGATCTAAGTACATTATATGCACGTATGGAAACATCACAGTGAAACTCCTTAGTACAATTAATATACACCATTCAAAAGGAAAAAAATGTGGTAAATACACACTATGGAGTGTTATTGAGCCATCATCATGTCAGGTGAAGTAAGTCAGACTCGGAAAGACAAATACCACATGCTTTCTCTGGTATGTGAAATCTAGGTCTGGAAAAAACAATACACGAACATAAAAGGGGGACTTTTGAAGGGTGGAGCAACCTGTGGGAGGTGGGAGGGAAAAAAGAGACGGTGGGAGAAAAATATGTTCAAAGTACATTACGTGTATGTATAAAAAGGTTGTAATGGAATCCACATAAAAATTTTTGTAGAAAATCAAAACAGAGGATGAGTAGGAAGAGAGGCCATAAGAAAGAGCAACAGAGGGGGTAAATATGACCAACATATACTATGTGCATGTACAGAAATATTACAATGAAATCCCTCACTTGGTACAATTATACACACCAACAAAAAACATGTAAACTAAGGGCTACGGGCATGACTCAGAGCATTTCCCTAGCATTCAGGAGGCCCTGGGTTCAATCCCAGAACTGCAAAAGAATGCTGCTTTCTTTCATTGCATATAAGGTAAAGCCACAGTAATGTTTAGGTTTTAAACAGATAATCCATTTTGATGTAAATGGAATAACAACAAAAATAATTTAATTCGAAACCCTGACTAAACAACGTTCTGATTATTTTAACTCAACTCCCTAAGAAATATGAAGTAGCAACTAAGCCAATATTAACAAGACCCTTCTGAATGGCAGGAAAAAAGCTCATGAGAAATAAAGCTTTGGCCAAAAAGTACTACTAAAACAAGATGACTGGATTAAAAGGCAAAGACAGACTAAGAGATTAGGGCAAAGAATATAATGCCCAGAAAGTTAAGAATTCTGTTATTCTAAAGCAGGGGAGGAAAAACTGGAAAAGGTGACATTTCTACTTTTTCCTTTCTTTATTCTCTTTTCTGTCATTTAATGCCTGCTACAAAGATGTGTTTCATTTGGTGTTAAGTACCTGGGTATGCAACAGTGCTGGAAGTAAACTGCTAGCTTCTTAGCTGTGGCAAACTAAGTTAGCAGCTGAGCCCCAAACTTGTCTTCCCAGAGCTTCTTACTGCAAAGCTCATTTCTTTGACAGAAACTGAAACTATGAGATTTCACTTTCCCAGTCATCTCACTGGTAAGAGTGGTCACAGTGATTGTTTTGGCACAGAAGATGATGAAAACTACTATGGTGGACATAAAAGAGAAATTTTCATTCTTAACAATAAAAGAACCCCATTCCTCCTTTTCTGCTTTAAATGCTAGAATGAAGTGCTTAGGAATTCTCATAATGATGTTGAGAACAAGAACTCATAAATTTAAAAACACATAAATAAAAAAAGAAAAAGAAAAACATGATGATATTGGTAGAACAGGAGGGAAAAAATTATCTTGGATTGTTAAGTTGCTGAAACAACCTCAGAACCACTTGTGACTGGATTTATCATTTGAGATTGTTAACATACTATTTAGGCCACTGTAGTTAAGTATTCTATTACCTGCTGCTGAAAACCCAGGAGTCATACAAAAGTTCAAAAAGATAAACAATAAAGACATATGTCTCACATATGTAAATATCATAATGTATCCCCTGTACAACTATTATATACTAATAATAAAAAAGAAAAAAATATGCATTTGTAGTATACTACAAATGTGGCTCCAAAATTTCCAGAAACTTAAATAGGTTAATTAATATAGTCAGTTAAATATTTGTAACATTCACACACTCAAAACTAAACCCATTATTTAAAAAGCTACACACAGCTACACTTACAGGGACTCATTCAAAACACCAGTTATTTTAAGCTACAGCCCTATAAGAATCAATACAAGCAGAAAGGCACCTTTTCAGTACTTCTCTTGTCTACCTAAAGGTAGAAGCTGGTAGAAGTAAGGTTGCCTCTCTCTGGGGAGTATTATTGGCAAAGACCACTCATGCCTGCATAAATAAACATTATCACACATTGTCTTGTCTCCTGCTTGTTCTCCTAGAAACTAACTTGTTCTTTAAAAAGCCTTTTGTCCACTTGGCCTCTTCTCTGTTAAACTAGAGAATGTCATGCTCCGACCCTCCATCTTTGGCTTTTTGGAGAGTTGTACTTTTCTCCTAAATAAATTTGTGAATAAATATGAGAACTGTGAACTCCTGTATAAATATGCGAATAAGAATCTGCCTTATCTTTGGCAAATCTGTCATTTCTCAGTTTAAGCCACAAGCCTCTATATAAAACTTCAGAGGAAAAGTTTTTCCTCTCTCTTTTAGGAATTGAGAGAAAAATAGTAGGTAATGCACTAAAAAACTGGTTCATCAACATTATCAGTTAATACAGAAGAAAAAAATGGTTTTCAATAAGAACAATAATATAAGAAACACATCAGGAAGGAAAGCCTTGTAAAAGGGTTTGGACAAGAGAATGACAACATCTAACTTAGAGATTAATGGGACTGTACTGACTAAACCAAAAATAGCCTCTATTCCATACTGAAGGGGTTAGCAAACTACAACTTGGTGGCCAAAATTGACCCTGCCTGTTTTTGTAAATAAAGTTTTATTGGGATGCAGCCATGTTCATTCATTTACGTATTGGCTACTTTCATACTGCAGTGGTAAAGGTAAGCAAATATGACACAAATCATCCATCTGCAAGGCCTAAAATATTTACTACCTTGCTCCATATAGAAAAACTATGCTACCCTCTGCTCTACAAAAGCAAGAGCAGGAAATGAGATTATTATATTAATTCAAGAGAAAAATGGTGACTTGGACTAGATAGCAACAATACATTAGTAAGTGACCACATTCTGAAAATACTGCTGTGAGAATGTGGAGTGTGAGAGAAGTCTGAGTTAACAGCTGTAGAGTTAATCTAGGATAATTTTTAAAATAAAGCATGAATTTCCAAATATCTATGAGGCATACACATATACAGGCCACTGGAACGCCCATAAAAAATGACTAAATTTAAGCATATAATGTCTTGACAAACTTATTTGAAATTATTTGATCCACCAAAAGTTCATTACTGCCAATCCTGGTTCTAGCAATAATAAAGCATCAGTTCAGTAGTCAGATCTAGTATGAGTCCTTGAAGTTTAATCCACAAATGATTTCAATCCACTATATCAAAGGTTGTAGAAAAAAATCAATAAAATCTACAATCTTACATTATTTGAAAGAGAATTTTCTAAGTAACAATGTAAAATTATTCAGTATTAGCAAAAACACATTTTAATTACAGAAGAAACTCCTAAAGTAATCTGTAATATTAACAAAGTGAATCAAAAAGCATACAAACTTCAAACAGGTCTTCACTAATGTGAAAAATCACTATGTCAGAAGTTCATTTTAAAAAATCTGGTAAGGTGTACAACCTCAGTGGATACAACTGAGGTGTTTATCTTTCCCACTTTTTTTTAACCACCTATATAAAATGGCAATGGAAAAGTAAGACAACTAATCTGATAATCAAGTTTAAAAAGAAAAACAAACACTTCGTAGAAAGTTTACACGATAAAAAACTGAAACAGAAGGCAAGATACTCTTACAAACAATTGATCCATTTTAATGTAAAATGTTTCTTAATTTAAAAATACTGTTACATGGTGATGGACTGGCTCAAATGGTAGAGTGCCTGCCTAGCAAGCATGAGGTCCTGAGTTAGAATGCCAGTGCCACCCAATAAAAAATGCCGGGTGCTCATGGCTCACACCTGTAATTCTAACTACTCAGGAAAAAGAGATCAGGAAGATAGAGGTTTGAAGTCAGCCTGGGAAAATAGTTCTTGAGCCCATCTTGAAAATACCCATCACAAAAGAGGGCTGGCAGGGTGGCTCAAGTGGTATACCAAGCACCTGCCTAGCGAGCATGAAGTCCTGAGTTCAAACCCCAGTACCACACACACACAAAAAAATGCTGTTACGCTACATTCATTCCAATAGGTAAATGAACAACTGTGTACAAATAACCAAAACCTTCATTTTAACAGAATGAGTACTGTCAAATGCAAACCTCACTGATATCAACTCATACACGGTCTTGAGTTTTGAAACACTGTTTGGAAACCTTTATCAATTTCCAATTCTTGCCAGGTACGGTAGAGCACATCTGTAATACCAATATTTGGAAACATAAGGTAGGAAGACTACAAGTTCAAGACCAGTCTGGACTACACAGTAAGACCCTGTTGAAAAGCATGAAAAAAAAAATCCAATTTTTTATAACAAACAGGAATATATGTAAATACACTTAAAATCACTTCCCACAAAAAGAAATACAATGACCAGTGTAGCAAATTAGGAGGAAAGTGACATTTCCAGCATCCAGGACATCTACCTATTAATCATGGGAGGCAAGAAGGCAATGAAGAAGCCTCAGGCCCAATTTCCACATCCTGATATATTTCAAGTAAATTTCCCCAAGTTAGCTGATAAACACAGACGTACAGAGCACAGATTGCACACTACTTGTCTAGCTTATACTGTTTTGCTTGCTTCATGTTAATTTGCATGCGTTTAGATGGAAAGGCACTCTCCAATCGCCACAGACCCTGTTTTGCCCTGCTGTCCTATCTTTGGCTTTTCACATTTTTGTTTATTACCAGGTAATCCTCGGGATTTATAGAGTCCTCTATGTCTAACTTGTATTATCCCACTGTGCCTCTGTCCATCATCCAAAATTGTAGCCATGATTAATCCACACAAACCTACTGTATAATTAGCCTCGATGTCTGCCCAGTAGCTGTGAAAATGCTCAGTGCTTATCCAGTACTCTTCATCAATTAATCAAAGTACAACTCTTCAGAATCAGAGATTGGAATGCAAACAGACACATGTATCAAAAACACAACTTTTCTGTAAGATTCATTTAAATGCAAATAAAATATATCATCACATACATGCCTCAATTATTTTTCAAACTTTCTTCATCAGATTATTTTTACTTGTTTCCTAGCTATGAAATAAATGTACTAAGATAAAAGCCAAGTATAACAAACACTTTATATAAAACTAAAATTTTATCGAATAAAGGAAGAAGAACGGGGCTGGACGTGTAGCTCAAGCACTAGAGTGCCTACCTGGCAAGCATGAGGCCCTGAGTTCAAACTCCAAAGCCACCAAAAAAAAAAAAAAAGCTGATGGTGAGGAAAAAGAGGCATACGCTGGAACTATGACTCAAATGGTAAAGTGCCTATCTAACAAGCACAAGAGCCGGAGTTCAAACGACAGTACCGCTGAGGGGGAAAAAAAAGAAGCCATCATGACTATATAATAAAAATTACTGAATAAGCAATTACATGCCCTTATAAAGAGCTTAAAGAATCAACCTGCTTTCAGGACTCCTTAACAGTGTCAAGTAAGTTATATTTTTAGATAGTTACCACATTAGAAATTAAAACCAAAAAACTTCTTAAATACTCATTAATTTATCTTAAAATAATCTGATTATAATAAATATGTGCTTATTAAAATGATGTATGAAAATTGAAAAAGCAAAGAAAAAACTGTTTTAAATGACTCAATTTATCCACAAAAAATTTGGTGAGAAGAATGGCACTGTTTTACATTTTTGCAATTTTATTTAATGCCTAGATACAGAAAATAAAAGACAGAAAAATTCTCAAAATGTATATATATATATACATATATATATATATATATATTTTTTTTTTTTTTTTTTTTTTTTTTTGTTGGCAGCACTGGGGTTGACACTCAGGGCCTCACACTTTAGGCAGGTGCTCTTACCACTTGAGCCATGTCACCAGCTCTTTTTTGTAATGGGTTTTTTCTAGAGAGGATCTGAAGAACTATTTGCCCTAACTGGCTGACCTCTACCTCCTAAGTAGCTGGGATTACAGTCGTGAGCCACAGGTACCCGGCTCAACATGACATTTTGTAAACTATGTAATCTCTGGAAATCTCCATTATTACTCATGAGTATAGAATTTTAAAAATAAGTAATTTTTGTAAAGTTATGAAAAGTTTTAATCAGACTCTTTGAAAGAATCTTAAGGGGGTTTCAAAAGTATACTATGAAAACAAATAACTGCTTAACCTAAAACCAGTAAACCTGGGAGGAATACTATAGAATTAAAATTAATAATATAGATTGTACCACAGATACTAAAGGTAGGATAACAATTTTATTTAAAGAAAAACAGGAGGAGGTTACCCATATACAATTTCAGATTCTCATAACTGACATTTTAATGCTTTAAAACACCTATGAGACCGGGAGCATGGCTCAGGTGGTAGAACACTTGCCTAACAAGCATGAGGTCCTGAGTTCAATCCTCAATACCACCAGAAAAATAAATAAAAATTAAAACAAAAAAACCTAGAATTATGTTTCATTTTATCTGTCAGAAGTCAGAACTCAATATAAAATTTTGAATGTTTTCAAAGGTCTGAATAGTTTTAAGACTGACAAAACCCTTACTTGTTTCTCAGGTTTTAGGTCAATGATCTGGACATAAAGATTTTAAGAATAAATTTTAAAATTTCTCTTATGCTTTACAACTCTTATGGTACATAAAAGAGTAATGAGAAGTCTTTTGAACATATTCATCAACTTAACAAGTGTGGGTTAAATATACATACCTCTTCTGCTGCTGCCTCTGAAAGCAGACCTTCCTTCTGGGCACAGGTCACATGAAAATAAGCTCTGCACATCCCTGCATCACAACTAATGCAAACTCCAGTTCTAGCAAAGCGAGGGTCTTCACAAAAGGAACACTCCTATGAGAGAATAACAGGACCACTTTCAGAATAAAAAAATTTTCCAAAACAGACTTCATTTTTCACACATAAGACAACTGAGGTGGAGATAAGTTAAGGCACCTGCTTGAAACAACAAAGAAAGTAATGGAAAGTCAGGCTTCAAATCAGAACAGTTTTATTCTAAAGCCTACCATTAACCTATACTAACTCTTAAACAATATAATATTGCTTCAAAGAGGAAAGAAAATAAATGAGACCATCCACCAAAAAAAATCTAGGCATTGCAGCTTAACAAATTACATATTTTAAAAAATACCTTTAAAAGAACTAAAAGTAGTTTTAGATAAACAATGAAATTGATAGACACACAATATAGCAAATTATTAATATTCTTTCAATATAAAAAGGGAAACTGTAAAATAAAAGGTACAAACTGACAAATTATCCAAAAACATCCCATCAAATTTACTTTTTTATCCTTTTAACTATCTTAACAATGGGGTCAACAGGACCAACTACTGGACAACTGACGAACTGTTTAATATATGTGTTCTAAGTAATTAAATATGAAAGAAACGTAAAGACGAAAATTATAACCTTTCATTAGAAACTGAAAATACTGTTTTACCCTATGACCATATTTACTTGGTAGGCTGAGATGGGTGGATTATGGTTCAAGGCAAGTCAAGGTGAATAGTTTGCAAACCCCATCTCCGCAATAACCAAACCAAAACAGATTGAGAGGTGTGGCTCAAGCAGCACAGAACCTGCTTTGGAAGTGTGAAGCCCAGAGTTCAAACCCCAGACCCACCAAAAAACAAGAGAGAAACAAATAGTTATAGCCAATTAAGTAACTTGCTACCATATTAAGTATATACAAGCCTGCAGTTTACACTGCTAAAGCAGAGCTCTTTGTACCTCTTCCAGTTTTCAACGCTGCCTGATTCGTGGATCTTTTAATGTTCAAATAAACCCAGTTAAACTTATTTTGTCTAAAATTTTATAACTATATTTAGTGTCAGAAGAGGGATCCAAAGACCTCTAGCAACCCCCAGCAACAAGGAAGAATCAGGAGACCAGTCAGTATGTTTGCTGATCTCAAGTGTAACTGGAGATTGTGGGTGAGTTCCTCTCAGATTCAGACTCTACAATCATATGTGTTTGAGCTCTTCTACATCAAGCATTTCTTCAATCAAACTGGATCCTGACCAGAATGAACCCAATAATTAAATTGACTGAGTCTAGTTAAGAGGCTTCGGGAAGGAACCTTCTCAAGATGGGTTCTTCTGAATCTAAAGCATCTGGGACTCTATAGCCTGAAACAATAGCTAATTTTATTTACAAAAATTACAAGTCCCAAACATTGGAAAAATGGATCAGTACACATTACTATGGAAAACTTAGAATTACAGTAATCTTGACAAAATTATTCACTGATGAGATGCACTAGAAACGAAAGGATCAAAAAAGCCTCAAAATAACGGAATTTTGCTTTTTAATGGTATGTGGAAGCTTCTAAAAACTTGAGTGAATCAACTATAGTAAGTTCAAGTACAACAGGAAAACAACTCATGCATTCAACTTTATAGAATCTTTGCTTTTGTGAAAACTTTCTGTATAAACAGTTAACAGAGAAATAACTTGAGTGTGGCTATCTTTGTTCGATATTACAACATATCTACCTAAAAGTGACTTCTCAAATCTCTTTAATAACTTACATCCTCAGAGTTTTGTTAAGTTGAATGATGTGTATTTAATGAACGTAAGTTATCTACTTTTGGCTTTTTATTACAAAGAAACTAAAGATACTTGCATCTGTTAATAAACATGTGCTATGCCACATTGAAAAACTGCACTATGAGAAAGCATATGCTTTTAGAAATTATGAAATGGTGTTCAGCTGCAGAATATTGGTATGTGATAGGCAGTTCATGGTTGCTTACTTCCTGATTTTCACTAGAAATTAAAGCTATTAAGTTACCCAAGTAATTTGTAATAACTAAAAAAGCAATAAATAATAAGAGAAATAATGTTGTAGGTAAGTGAAGCTATAAAGTATGAAGGATGTATTTCAGTAGGGAATGTGTTTTGTTAACTTTTTAAAGGTTTTTCTTTACTGATTTTTGAGTCTTAATAAAATAATTTCCTGTGTATCATATAATCTTCTAACAGATCTTTGATTACTTAAGAAAATGCTCTACTGAAAGAACTAGGGTTATGTGTCCATAAAATCTTTTGTTATTTGGGCTAACTAAATATTGCTTCAAAGAGAAACTTTTGACTATCTATCTATTTATTTATTTATTTATTATTGGAGGCTGAGGTTTGAACTCTACCACTTGAACCATACCTCCAGCCCTTTTTGCTTTAGATTTTTGTTGTTAGACAGGGTCTTGTTTTTTGGCCAGGCACCAATGATCCTCCTACCTCCACATCCTCTGTAGCTAGGATTATAGGTATGCCTTACCTTGCCCAGCCCACCTTCTAACATTTTTGGCAACTTCCCAAAATCAAAATCCAAATTAAGATCTTTCCATTTTGAAATAAATTTGGGTTGTCCCAAAGAGCCCCTAGATTATTCCAAAAGAATTTATTCTCTCTCCTTATAAAAAGATATAAAGTAAATCAGGTTTATTCGAAATAGCTAAATTTGCATCAGCAGTATTTATTAAATAATAAATTATCTTCAATCCTCTTTGAGTTTTTTAATTGCTTCTAGACTTATGTTTTTAAAATGTGTCCCTACTGAAAATTACTTAAAACTGGTCCCTTCTAGGTTCTATGTTTGTGAGTTATAAAACTGCTTTAAAAAAAAGAGTGCAGAGGGCTAGATAATGTATAAGAATTCTCCCTAACTAGAAAATCTGAACAAAACGTTTTCTTTAAATTATAGCTAGAAGGCATCAGAAGTAGCAAGACAGTGTAGAATTATCTGAGAACCAGGAAAGTAATTTCAAGGTTGGGATTTTAATTAATTCTGGAGAGGGACAGCTAGTGTTATTGAGCAATCTCAATTCCAAAACTGAAGCACAAGAGTGCCAAGGTAGGAGTGGGATAGAGGAGAGAAAAAGGATTATAAGGAAGGGACTGAACCCAAGGAGGATATTCCATATACAAATCAGAGACTTTCAAATTTCTGAATTTTCAGTAAGTTTCTGCTATGATCTGAAGATTGACATCCCATTGAAATTCATATGTAGGAGTCAATTAATACCCAATGTGATAATACTAAGAGGTGTGGGTCTTGTGAAAAGTAATGGGCTCTGCCCACACGAATGGGATTAGTGCTCTTAGGAAACAGCCAAGTGAGGATGTAGCAATAAGGCACCATCTTTGAAGCACAGAACATCGAATCTTTTGGCACATTCATGTTGGACTCTCCATCTTAAGAAATGAGAAATTTTTTATTTATAAATTACTCAGTATAAGGTATCTTAATAGAGCAGCCTGAAAGAACTAAAACAGTTCCTTACCCCATCTTTAATATGCTACTGATGCTACTCAGGAGTTTTCCTTTCCAATTTCCCCACAGAATAAAGGAAAGTGACATATTGGGATGTCTATAGTATTTAAAGCATTTTTAATCGTTTATAATCCTGCCAAATTATCAACTATCAAAGCTAAGAATCATTTGCTAGGCAGAAGAAAATGTAGTCATACAAATAAAATGAGCTCATAAAACCTGAGTAAAATAAAGGGTGCTACTTATGTTCTTTTTAATTTTGATAAATACCACTTTAAAAGTAAAGTCAAGACTGAGGATTAAGCTGGGCATGGTGGTAGCACATGTCTGTAATCCCAGTACTCAGGAGGATGAGGCAAGAGAATCATGAGTTCAAGGTCAGCCTGAGCTACATAGCAAGAATTTGTCTTAAAAAAATAAAAAAAGGATTGTATTTTATTCAGATGGCTATAAGCAAGGCTCTGCTCTGTGCACCAGGTAGCATATCATGTGCCAGGGAAACAGCAGCCATATCAGTTAATATTTTAGCCAAGAGGTCATTCTGAATTAAGAGTACCTGGAATAGGGGGATATGAAGGAAAAAAGTGGAGGGGGTACATTTAAGAAGGATATATTTGATATACCATAAGAGCTTCTGTAAATGCTGCAATGTACCCCCACCCAGCACAGAAAAAAAAAGCATATGGAAGAAGTTATGCATTATTACCTTTCTGGGAAATTTATCAATAATAAATGCATTAGGACTAAGGGTTCAGCAATATCATGATTACTAATAAGCACCTCTTTAGTCAATAATGATACAAATAAAATGCCATATAAACTAACAAGTGACAATTTTCGCTTTTAAACAATCATGAATACTTCTGTCTTACCTTGGCACCATATTTCGAATAGTTCATTTCTGTTAGTGTTACTGGTCTCAATTTGTCAATATCTCCAAAGGCCACCCCAGGAACATACAGCGCACAAACAATGTGAACCCATCTAAGGAGAGAAGATATGATTTTGCTACTAAATCTTTCCTCACATAGAAAACAAACATATAAGACATCTTAAAACACTGAAGAATTCTATGATCCGACGTGAAATCTTAATCTCAGATACATAACTAAAGAATATAATACCTATAGAATAACAGCACTTAATTATTTAAAAAAATGACTGCAATAAGCATTATTCTACCAGCAGATTAGCCAATACTTAGTAACTATAATTGTTTTTCACTTAAAATTCATTATACTTTGTTCTTAACTGTTGTTCTTAAATATTTGCATAAAACTACTATTCAAATGAAACAAAACATTATTTTCATATGCATGGAAAGGAATTTACATGCATTATTGTGCACACTTTCAAAATTAAGACTCCTAATTTAAAAGAACTAAAGTTATTCTGTAGAAATTAGGTACAATTGCTCTTTATTATTACTTCTTTCCAAAAGCTGTTGGGTAATCCTTAACGACATATTTTAAAAGAATTTTGGTATATAGTTTGACTTTCTTCTGAGGTTAAAGTTGGTTGCTGAAAGTAGGTACAAAATAAAGTCTTAGTAACATAAAGATGTCACCTTTTCATTCATCTCATCTGTTCACCACATGACCTATGTACTATATAAATACATTTTTAAAGTCTGAATGACGTTGTAACACTAAACAAAAAACATGTTCAGCTTCAATAAAATGACAATTGGTTTTGGTTTCATCTTTTAACCTCTCTGAACCATTTTTTTTGTTTGATTACAACCAAACAAAATGTTGAATCACAGTCTTTGAAAGATCTGTATCATTTCTTTAAGAAAAAGAGAAAAATAAGATGGCAATGTCTATTACCTGTGTGAATATATTAACCACAAATTCTGCTTTATTACAGTTTAAAAGGCTGTAAATATTACATGGTTCTGGTTTTGTGAGACATTATGATTTTAAAGGACTAAGAACAATTCTATAGAGTTACTGAGGAAAACAGTTATAAATCTTTTAAAATATTATCTTTTTATTGGGGAAAAAAAAATCCAAGGTTTTGAGATTTTCTTGATAGAACAGTTTAATCACACCTCCCAAATGCACCCTGTGGAGTGCAATATAAAGATACACATCTTCAACAAACAGCTGCTTTCTCAATTTAATTTGCACAGTTTTTTCATGCTCCACTGATGTATTAAATGTCGTTGTACTCTGTAGGAGTTTATCTTTGATAAACCCAACAGCTGGCTGCTTGCTTCAAACTGACCTTCTTAAAATGCTTTAGAACAAGTCATACAAGTACTGCAAATTTAAGCTTCCATTTCAGTGTGATTGGCACCCAAGTGTATCATTTTGCCCAACAACTCATTTGCACATACCAACTTGAGTCCTTATTAAAACACATATCAAAGTCATTGAAAATCACTGCTAAGACAAGTTTGGTCCTTTTCAATACCAGCAAATACTTGTTTGTTCAATTTGTTTAGCAGCACATACTTCAGAACATTGTGATTAAACAAACTGAGAAATCAAGCAACAACAAAAATCTTCCTGTTACTTTACCATTAGTTTTGCTTGAAGCCATGTTGATTGGGAAAAGGAGCAGAAAAGTAGACTAAGACTATATGATACTATACTTCTTATAAGACTCTCATTTCAGAATGGAAAGTATTAATCAATCAAATGATTTGGATATGCTCTGTGTTTGTAGTGCTTTAAATACATATACATACTTATCTACTATAAGTATATAAAACAAATCCAGCATATTATTTTTATTCCCTCATCCCATAATCTGTTTACTTGGCATAGAGCACTACAGAGGCAGATTGAGGTTATTTAGACATGTGTAAAGTGCTTACAGCATAGTGTTTGGCTCACTGCCTTCACTCAGGGAATATAAGGCAAAATAAGGCCTAAAAGTTTCCTATGTGTGGAGGCATAATAAGAAATGGATTCAGAAGGATTAAATGATTTCAAAATATAACAAGGGTAGTAAGTGAAAGAACTGAAAATTCCTTCCTTTTTGTAAATCATAATGCTTATTTTTTTAAAAATCAAAGAATTTAGCTCAAATATATTTCATTTCACAGCAGATTAGAGGACAACCAACAAAGGACACAAGGAAGGAGAATATATCTAATATTTCTCACAATCAGGTTCATAAGACTATTTAGATGGGGTAAAATATTCTCCCTTAGGTTCTGATAGTTTCCTTACATTGTATCACATTGTTTTCTACATAGAATTTTTGGCTCCCATCAAAAATAGAGGGAGGAAAATCTGATTAAGCCCATGTGATAGAAGTCAATTTCAAAGCCTTTTTTCATTCTTTATATACAGTATTCTTTCTTTTCCCCTGCTTTTCATTTAAAGATAGAATACTGTCTTTAAGAGGTATCAAGTTTTCTGGCTTTTTATTCCTTGAACCAAGCAGGAATACACCTTGCAAAATGTATAACTATGTATCATTTCCCTTATACCCATATCTTAGTGTAGACATCAACAAAATGTGTTCAAATAGTAGAGAAAAGAATTTTTGTCAGGTGTACACCAAGACAGGTATCTGTATATGTGACATCCATATTTCTCAGTAAATCTCAACAGTTAGAGTTTTTCCTTTTCTTCATTCAGAAGCAACTTTATAAATTGCCTTATGGATTATGAAAGCATGTAAAGACAGTTTCTCAATAGAGCTTTTAAATAGTTAACAAGAAAAAAGTGAAATCATAAGGCCAATCTCTTCCCCAAAAAGAAGCTTTATATTTCTCAAGTATACCACAATTTATCCCCATAAATTTCAACTCTCAATAAGTTACCAGAAAGAATTTATGTAGCAGCTGTTTACCTTAAGTAAGTAGCACAAGACTAAAAGAAAGCACTAGTAACAGCAGCAGCAACACTAGGAGAACCAAGGAGACAGTCACTGACCACTAATCATGTTCCAGAAACTGGTTAATTGTTTTATAGGAATCATCTCACCAATCCCTGCAACAGTGCTACAGAAACTGAGGGATAAAAAGATTAAGCCACCTGTCTGAAAGTATAGTTAGTTTAAACAAAAAAGAAAAAAAAAGAGTCCAAATATAGAAAGTTCAATTTTAAAGCACACACTTTTAATGCTTACTGAACTCCCTAATTCTAGGCCAAAGTCATTCCAACCATAAAATAATGCCTATCTGATACAGGCACAAATTCTTGTCAATACAGCTAATCATTTATCTATTTATTTTACTGATTTTTAGATGAGGAAGGAGAGGTAAGATTTTCAGCCATTTTCCCTGGAACTCAACACCCTGGGTTCCCCCAAGATCCCATGGTAGATTCTGTGTTATCCTAACAATCTTCTGTGGAAACATTTCCCAAGGTCTGTCCACTAATTGAGGCATATATGACCAAAATGTATTCTTTAATTTTGTTATGGCAAATGTATTAAATCTCTTTTATTTTAGGACAAACTGTGTCCTACCATTTTCAATGTTAAAAATGGGGAAAGGTGATAATTTATACAAGCTAGTTTATAATTCTTTCTTTTTTTTTTTTTTTTTGTGGTGCTGGGGTTTAAACTCAGGGCTTTGCGCTTAAGAGTTAGATGCTCTACTACTTGAGCCATGTCCCCAGTCCTACCTTATACAGGCTATTCTGTTGTTGTTGCTTAAATACTAAGTATGCTTAGTAAAAAAAAATATTATATCCTTATTTGGCAAAATAAAAACTTAAGCATCCCTCTCCTATTACAGAAAAGGAGTGATCTGGGAAACACACAATATTGAGAATTATTCTTATATTGAAGTCACTCACCCAGATGGTGGTGAAATAAAAAAAAAAAACCCACATGAATGATGTCAACACTATTATGAGGTAACTCCTCAAATATGAGAAGAAACATGAGTGTAACTGTAACACAACGAACATAGGTCTTTGTGCCAAGTATCCATTTATCACCTCTCAACTCCAAAATCGTATTTCAGTACTTGCTCTATAATAACAGAATTCCTTCAGCATTTTTCCTTTATCATGAGAGTGATATTACGCTCCACGGCAAAGGGCACTATAACTGAATGGTAGAGAGCAATGTATAAGGAAAGAATTTCCCAACAGGGATGAAGTACATTTGTTCTGCCCCAGCCATATGCTCAGCCCTTCAGTGACCAAACAGCCCAGCCCAACTGGAAATCACTTTGTGCCATGGTCTCTCAATTCAGATATCATAGGCTCCAGTCTTCAAAACAGTGTCCCAGCTTCCTCTGCAACCTGTGCCCAGTCATTTACTTGTAAAAAACTAGCAGGAATACCATCAATTTTTTTGGGCATCCAGTAGGATATAACTACAATTTGTCCGACAAACTGTGAGCCCCAGTCTGGGAAAGAGGTCATCTTTCCAATTTTGTCATTCCTTAGATAATCTCCCTCTTCCCCAGGATGTCTTTTAGAGTTCTTTTACATTTTATGTTCACTCTTTTATCATAGCTTAATAATTCTTTATATTAAATTTCTCCATTATAAATCAGTTTGATATACTCTTGAAGTGAGACAAATCCAAGTTCAAATTCGATTATTTACCAGATTGTGTCCTGAGCTAATAAATTATTTAAATGATTTGAGCCTCAGGCACTATTCCTGTAATTTGGGAAATTACCATTTGCCTCTCTTGGGGATCATTATTAAAATTAGATGAGTACAAAACCAAATGCAAATGCTCTGTAAATGGTCTTTCTTCTTCCTCTTTCCCATCTGTAGCCTACTGGCCATTTACTCAATGCCAAGAAAATACAAAGCAGCAATTAATGAAGTATGTAACTCAGAAAATCATAAAAGAAAAGGGGAGTCAAGAGCAGACATGCTTTAAAGCAGGTATATGAACCCAACGTAATTAGGACATCAACCTTCCAGCATCTGTCTCCTTGAAAATTCCATCTTGATTAGGGCACAGCTCACAGCTGGGAGAAACACCACATTTACAGGCATCACAAAACCAAGGTTCAGTGGAGTTTTCAGAAGCCGAACTCATAATAGAGTCACTCTCTCCATCAACTCCGTAACACCCTTAAAAAGAAAAAAAGTTATGATTAAATAGGGTTTATTTTTTAAACTCATATTTATACAATCACAAAGGGCTATGAAAAGGGAAGAGAAGTAGAGAAAAATTCTGAAAAACCAATGGTTTATAGAATAACAGTAAAATCTTTCACAAAAATACTTTTTTACCTAACATAGTTATATATAATAAAATAAGTGAATTTTTGGCAGTCCTGGGATTTGAACCCATGGCCTGGCATTGACTGAGTGTGTTCCACCACTTAAGCCAGGCCCTATGCCCTTTTTACTTTACTTATTTTTCAAATAGGATGTTGCATTTTTGCTGGGGCCAACCTGGACGGCAATCCTCCAATTTATGCCTCCTTTATAGCTAGAATGACAGGTGCTTGCCACCATGCCCAACTTTCTTGGTTTAGAAGAGGTTTCACTAACTTTTTGCCCAGACTAAACTCAAACTGCAATCCTCCAGATCTCCACCTCCTATATACCTGGAATTACAGGTGTGAGACATGCCTACCCTAAATGACATTTTAAAATAGTTTTAGTACTATAGGAAGAGCATTAAAGGATGTGAAATGTTTATAATGCTTTTAATTTTATTTTAATGCATAAAAATATGAGTTATTAAAGAGAAATGAGGCTAATGAGCTATAAATTAGTATTTATTAAGCTCCCTTTCCACTAGAGTACACATAAGAGATTTAGTTTGTGCAAAAACAGATTTAAAAAAACTCTGGAGGAAGCAGATTATAATACAAAGTCATACAACAGTACAGTAAATATTATAACTACATGAGGTACTTAATCTCATTAAAAATTTATAAATTCTTTTGTCTCTGAAAATTTATTCACAACTAAAATAGATGAAAAGAGGTTATTTTCTTTTTCTTCTTCTCATTTCACTAAATTTCAGTATTCAAGGGAGGGGGTGGGGGGGAAGGGAGGAGAAATGACCCATTGTATGCACATATGAATAAAAGAAAAATTAAAAAATAAATAAATAAAATAAATTTCAATATTCAGAGCACAATTAAATTATTTATCCAGGTAATATTAACAAAAATCTTCATGAACATAAATACAAAATTCAGAACAGTTCTTTACATTTTAGAGTAGGATATGATAAATTTCAATTCAGTACCTTTCAGTTATCAAAATCAAGAAGTTTCCTTATTAACTTAAATACACACATCTCAAATCATTACTTGGGCTTCCACATCTGTCAAAAAAAATTTTATAAAAACAAAAAAAATTCTCTTGGTTTTGAACTTAAAATAAAAGAGTAGGTAAGGTGTCAAAAATGTAAGCCAACTAGAATTTGATTCAGGCCCTCCTTGCTAACATCTTAGTAAGACCACTGAAATTCCCCAAATGTAATCCCGTCCATAAACAGCACTGATGAGGTTCCTAGTGCCTGACAAACCAATCGAGCTCACTAATAATTTCTTATCCTGAATAATTCTCAGCATCAATTTCTACATTGGTACCCACAAAGCACTGATAAATATGGAGTCCAGTAAAGGAAAACTGAGTGTTTAAGAGATAACTTTATTGGACTACTTAAAAAAAAAAAAAAAAAAAAAAACATGCTGAACTACTGATGTCTTCAAATAAAGAGTGTGTCTGTAAAGACTGCAGTCATGCACTCCTACACAGCTTTCCTTTTCTCCAAATGGTCCAGGAAACACACCAACTTCACATTATCCAATTTTTCTTCTTTTAAAAAGAAAGCTACTACCTTTATGTTAAAACCTCTTTCAGGAAAATAATTTAATGCATAAATAGTAATGAAATAGACTGTAATTTAATTATAGTCCTCATCACCTTTACACAAGATGGGGCATTTCTTCAATTTTCTAAGACACATTTATTACCTCTCAAAATGAGTCACTTCTAAATATAACCAAGTATCAACCATCCCAGGATACTTTTGACCAGACTTATTCTAAGAGGATAGTTTCAGAGCCAAATTCAAAGGAGAACCCAAATTCTAAGGTCCCTCAGAAGGTTTAACCACATTGGTAAATTTATATGCATCCAAAGTAAGATCGGGGATTATTTGACCTCACTATATATTAAACAGGTAATGGGAGCCTAAAATGAAGAATGACCTCTCACAACCATCAAATAGTATCTAAATTAAAATAAATAATTACATAAATACTGAGTCAAACAAATCAACCTGAAGAAAGAAAATGAGTAACATGAAACTAGAAAATAATTTAAAATCACCAACAGCAATGCACTAGGTATCAGTATTGGTCAATATTTATGCATTTTATTCATACACTACCATTACTTAACTTAGGTGAGTTAAATGACCTAATAGGCAGAAAGTAAAAGAGCTATTGTGCAATTGTGACTTATATAAGCTGTCTCAAGCAAATCCTTAATCACTGCTATCCTGATACTATCTGAAAGTTTTACAATAGTGAACTTTAATCTAAAAGTCATATAAAAGAATGCCAAAGAAAAGATTATAAAGAAACTAGATTATAGCACACAAGAAAGCAGAAGAATCAAAACTCATTAATAATATTCTATTGTAGTTGGCAATCACTGCATTTATCACTTCTTTTTTATTTTAATTTTATTTTATCATTTTTACACTTACTTACATGTGTATACATTATTTGGGCCACCCCCCCCATCACTTCTGTTTAGATATGAACTTTTTAAATATGAAATCACAAAAGTGAAGGATTTATAATTTCTTCTTGGGAGCAGTTATTGTCACCAATAAAAGAACACTAAGCAACATGTATTCAAAGAAAACTCATAAAACAAAAAAATAAACATAGTCACTCTATTTTCTCAATGTGCTGTACAATACTACGGGGAAATCTATTTTCTTTACAAAATAATGTTCCTATAAAGCAAATTTGTTCAAACTACATACAATCTAGTAAGCAATTACCAAGATAATAAATCCCCCAAGGGGAAATCAAATTTATTAACTTCATTCAGCAAAATCAGGACAAATCACAGCAGTTTACTTGTTTGGACTCAGGGCCTCACTCATGCTGGCAGGCACTCTTACTGCTTGAACTACTCCACTAGCATAGTTCACGTGTTTGGAATAAAGCAAAATTTCAACTCTATTTTTAAAAATATACCATACACATGGCAAACATCTGCACAGTTTTAAAACACCTACAACCAACCTTAGGAATGATTTCTGAGCTACACTCCCAGGACACTCATCCTCAATAACCCAAACTGCTGGTATTGTGCAAGCTCAAGGAACAGTCAACAAGTATATAAGAATTTCTTCTCCAGCCTCATTGCCCCTGGAAAAATGTCCCACACTGCATCATACTATTACAGAGGTTTTACTGCCACTTTCACCTGCCACTTTTTCCAAATTTCTCTGCCATAACGGTTAGGTTCACTGAGCTCTAAACCAAAATTCTAGTACTTTACATCTACCTTAATCCCAAATACAGTTCAAAATCTTTATTCTTCCATACAAAATTTGAGTATGGAAAAGATTTTTTTCATATGTAAATGAAAATGAAATGTTTATTTTTCAACATGTAAAATAAAAAATTTATAAACATATGTTAACTGTTTCAAATGAGTAAACATAAAAAACATGTTTCTGTGTAACTAGAAACAATCTCCGAATAACATATGCAATCTACACAAACCAGATTTAAGGAAAAAATGATGAAAATGCATTCATAATTGTCTTGAGTTTTACAAAGGGCTGGATGATCCAAGTCAATGGAAATTTTCCCTACTCAGCTTTCCACAGGCACCAAAAGATGTGCAGTCTTCTGCCTTCTAGCTATGTAACTTTGGACACACTGAATCACTAAGGCTTAATAACCTTATCTACAATTTGTATTTAATAATATTTATCTTAATATTTCTTAATTTATAAAGAAAAAACAGGGCTGGGATGTAGCTCGGTGGTACAGCGCTTGCCTAGCATGCGTGAGACCCTGGGTTCGATCCCAGCACCAAAAAAGAAAAGACATAAAAAAAAAAACAACTTCTTCCCCTAAAGAAAAAACAGGGACACGAAAGTTAGCCTTTAAAAATGTATAATACCTGTTCGATATTTTAACATTATCACTAGAATTTTGACTATAAAACCAATAACTGCCAATATTTTAAATAAGTAATATTGTTTAAAGTACCTATAACATGTACTATACCTGTCAAAAAGATATCTTAAAACCTAAAAGAACCAAACTGTCCAATGATTTATAAAGTCCATTGAACATACTCAACTTGGGCATAATCTAATACCTCATACATGCTCATGAGGATATATTTTTACATACACTACAAAATAAAAGCAGTCTAGAGCAAGACAAACAGAATTACTTAAAATAAATAAGCAAACAAACAAATGGGGAGGAACATCTTCTGGTAGCCTTTACCACATTTAACACATAGCAACTAAATTTGAGGGCAACTGCTGGTAAGTGTACTACATAATGTTCTGTCATGCACTATGAGATACAGCTGACACTGTATTTCAGACATACTGCAATCAGTATGTCAGGATAAATGACATCACACTCAGGAGTACCTTGCTATTACAAGTCAGTTACAAGACCCTGTAGCAAAGGTGTTTATAGTAGTGACAGAGTGCAGCCCTCAAATTTCAAAGAGAAGAGATTTAACTACATTTAGGTGAAGTGAGTTCTCTAGAACATAATTACAATTATGCATTTAACATCCAACATATGAAATACTATTTTTTAGCAAATCTCAAAAACTTCTCTTACTTGTAATTACTTATTTTTAAAAAATGAAGAAAAAAGATAAGAGAAAATGCATAGCATCAAAACATTATGGCTGTCTGGATATAAGGACTATAGTCAGTTCCCGACTAATAATTATTTTGACAACATTTCCACTTTACTATGGTACAAAATCCATACACATTTATTAGAAACCATCCTTCAAGTTTTTGATACTTTCACAGGCCATAGCAATATGCCACAATTAATGTTCTACAGTGTACTGTGTTGCTAGACTATGATGTAGAA